AAGTGGAGACACATTGTCCATCTTTTATGTGTCTATGGTCAGAACTCTTTTACTATTTTCATTAAAATGTGATGTGGTTATGTTAAAAAGCCTATATATTGTTTTAAGATTTTTTAATTGTCAAGTCAACAAACTAATGATAATTATCTTCTAATTATAGTTATAAGACAGGACTATTACTCCCAGCAACTATCTCTCCCCGTGTCTTAAAACCCGATCCAAAGTTAAATAAAACTTGATCAATCCGGTTTTGTTTCCCGTTATAATCGAGCTCTAATTAAAGATGATATGCGTCTATTGTTTCAAATGCTCTCTAAAACCAAAAAATAAATTACTCAGAAAAACACAAATAATTACTCAGAAAAACAAACCAAAAAATAAATTAAATAGTGAATGCAATACGCTTCCGTAGGTTGCAGCCCTGTATGATACCATGGTATAGGATGCACTAATATGGAAGAAATTTAGGATGTAATATTTTGTGACATTATAATGAAGCATTTGCTCAACCAAAAAAAAAAAAACCCATTTGTTTTAATTCCTTTAAAGTTGCAGTAGGACACTTTTATAAAAATAACAATGAAAACAACCAGAGCCAAGAAAGATAGTCTCATTCCCAGATCATCAAATATCAATGCTAGAAATGAGACTCAGCTACCTCTGTGCTACGAACCTAGTTTTTTTCAGTCTTTCTCGGCTCTGATTGGTTGTTTTTGTTCAGGCGCGAACAATACCATTAGGAGCACTAGGAAGAGCCAGAGGAACCTGATTTGTTTCACAGATTATCTGTCTCATGTAATATTCTTCAGCAAAGCTTCAGCAAATATGACAAAAAGTTAGTTTTTATAAGCGTTACCTACTGCAGCTTTTGTGATGCCAATAGTAATAATTGTGTAAGTCGGTTATTATACTATGAAAATATCATACCGTTACCATCCTACCTACTAGTGTTATCTGAAGGAATAATTTTCCCTATTTAAAAAAGTCAAAAATCCAGCATTGTTCATCATGGTCTCATTATGTCAGGACGGGCTTATGTGTATCATGATCCTCCCAAACCAGTTTCATCATACAGTCGTTCCCCTTAGCCTCGAGAGAACTCAACAAAGTCAGGGGAGCTGCAGAGGAGGAGGATGCAGGTCTTAACAAATAGTTTTCCAGGAGTTTTCTTGACAGTACAGTACATCACTTGCTCATAAATGGGCATATAATTTAGGAGGTCAGCATTTATGCGTTAGCTCGCTTTTGTGGCTGTTCTCACCACAGCTTATTTTTCCACTGCAGCCGCAGATAACTCAAGTGGGTTACCTACAGTTAACTACAGTTTTCCTCTAATACCTTTAGTTCAAATCAAATAGAATTTACTTTATTTTTTACAGAAAATGTATCATCTAAAAAGTGAAAAAGTCAAAACATTGTTCATTCAAAGGCTGTATGCAATATGGTAAAATAATGGTATTGCAATTATGATATGATTCATGATTAATGGGAATGATCATTTTTGCATCACAATTTTTGGTTTCAACGAAAAAAACATCAAATGTGATGATGTCACATTTGTTGGGGTCTGTACTAAACAAACAAATCTAAAATGTTTTCTTACTGTACTGTGCACTACAGTATGTCATTATAACGCTGTTTGTCTCATTTTACCTTTATCAAAAAATTGCAGCTTTGTGATTTGAATATTGCACTCGACCATAATGTGATTTTAATTAATGTTGTGATTAATTGTGCATCCCTAATTCCATGTTGGTGTCTTTTTGTAGTTTGTTATGTCTCATGATCTGTTCCCTTACATCTAAACTATGAATAATTAAATTCAGGTTAACTGTGCGTAGACTACAGTACTTGATATGACTGAATCATGAGTGAATGATTTTTAGGAGGCTAGGACACAGGCTAGCACACAGAACCATGTATAATATTTCATTTAAAGAGAGGGCAGAGATCCCAGTGTACTCAGTTCAGAACTGGTACCTCACCACTGGCAATTAAGATAGGCAGGTATACAGGTATTCCTGTGTGTTTTGTGATCTTGGTGTAGTGGAGGATGGATTTCATTTCATTTTTCAATTTTTTTTGTCTTTCCAAGATTTATAGGAAATGCATAAAAAATAAGACAGAGAACACTGTGTCCAACATAAGACATTTCTGTCATGGAAACTGAATGTTATGACATGTTTTCTTTGTGAATTTGTGGAACTATATTTTATGATTTGTCATGTGGCCATCTTGCAGGAACTCCCTGCCTCCTGAATCAGGGACATCAATCACCTTTTTTAGCACGTTTAATTTCCATCATGTCTCATATATTTTACTAATGAAGCTGCAGTAGGTATTTTTTACAAAATATTGTTTTAATCATGTTTAGCGATGGGTATTTTATTCTTAAAATTTTGTATCTTTTTAATTGTTTAAATGTATTTGCCCTGTGCAGTTAATTAACACTATGTAAATTATTTTCTGTTTCATTGTTAGTATTTATCTTTACTAATTTTTTTCCCTTTTTATTCTAGCTCACATTTTGTTTTGCCTCATTCCCTCCTGGAATGTTTTTAATCCTGGTCCTGGCCATCTACGTCTATGTGACTTTGTTTTGAAACGTGCTGTATAAATACATGTGTATTAATATTATATTAATATTAATAATGGGTATTATTAATATTAAAAATAATATTAATATTAGTGTCTTGTAAACCTATAGTGTCTGGGCACCACATGGTGCAGGGCACATTCATTCATTCACATCACATTCATTGGAGTCTAATCTGACCTAATAATTGTCTTTATGGCAGCCATTAACAGTTTTAACATTAAAGACTCCACTGACGCTAGTTAAAGGCAACAACAACAACTACTGAATCTGTCACTTAGTCAGTTTACTCACTGATAGAAAAGAGCACCCTGAAGAAAAAAGGTTGGGAACCACTGCTTAGAGCTCTCACTGTGGCAGAGAGCGACCGCAGGTGGAAAGTGAAACATTTCTGCTTTAAAGGAGGATGTGTGGGTATCATCTCCCGTTTATAACATTACCACAGTGAGCCATCAGTAAGTGAAACCCAATATAATACATCTTTATCATAAAAAAATGCAACAGCGGCAATCTGATTCAGATATAACTAAGCTCAATCTGATATTCCATTGGTAATTCTTATACTCTATTTTTAAAAGAATAAGAGATTTCAGATGCCAGAGAGGATGCTAAGGTCACCATGGTGGAAATATGCTACCGTGAACCAATAGAGCAGTGTTTCTGGAAATAAGTGTTGCGCAATTATTATATTGTAGACTGTTAAAGTACTGTGCGTAAGGAAAAAGGTCTGACTGAATATGTTTTTTCTCCAGTAATCATATAATGTGTCAGCACTGTGGTAATGAAGGTCCTTACCACACTCACTACACTGTATCCTCAAATGCCCCTAGCATGCATAATGAAGCTCACAAATATGTATCTTGTATGGATGTCACACCAAACTACACACTGTGATACAATAAGTTACTTTAAAGCTGGTAGTTTTTAGAATTTTTTTTTGTCAGGAGGAGCAAGAGGAACCAGATATTTTTTTTTTTACAAATTATCTGTCTCATGTTCTACCGTCAGGACACAGTGAAAATTTCAGCTAATGAGACAAAAACATATTTTGAGAAAAGTTACCTACTGCACCTTTAAGTAAAAAAAAAAAAAAACACCAACTCAATTTCTTGATTAAGCAGTTTTTACTCGGAATTTGAAGTGACACTAGCTTAGTTCTTTAAGTTACGCAAACATTCCCGATTAAGTAGCTTTTACTGGTTTTTATTTATTATTTTTTTTCAACAATGTTTTGAGTTAAATGAACATGTCAGGTTTTTCAGTGAAATGAGCCAATTTAGTGCGTTCCACATACTACTGCAGCACCTTACCTATTTAAATAAACCGTCAGTTCACATAGAAGACTTAAACCGGATCCTGGTTCAAATGCAACTAAATGAAATGCCACTTCATTGAGCCGAAGCCAACAAGAGCTACACTGAAGGTCCTGCATAGTCCTAAATCATGTTGAGGTGTACCGTACGTTTGCCGAAAGGCGAAGCGAAATTAAAATTGCCTGGTCTAATATGAAGTTCCTTCACCGCCATGTCCGAGGTACACTCCTGCTATAGCGTCAACAACAGTACCGAGCGGGGTACCCATTCATACTGTAGCGTTAGCCCGGGGAAACAGCCGACACCAGCTCTCAACAACATTATATTTTTCAGCGATTAATGGTAAAAAAGAGAGCGGGAATGTGATAAATAAGACGGGGGAAAAGATAACAGTGTTCGGTGAGAGGTGTGGGTTTGTTTACCTTGCTGGGAGATGCGGGTAGAGTTCTCCCCGGGCGGGCAGCAGCAGTGCGGAGCCAAGGATTATGCGCAGGAGGCGCGGTGAGGCTGCTCGCTACGTCGGTGAAACAGACACCGTGTTTCGGATGATAGTAGCGACCCGGGCTCGTTTCACACAGCGGTCTTACTCTCCTCTCTCTTTCTTTCTTCCTCGTCTTTTCTTCTCAATCTACGCTGTGAATTTTTAGGTGAGTCGCATTCAAGCACGGAACAGTCTCTCTCTCTTTCTCTCTCTCTCTCTCTCTCTCTGTCTCTAATTTCTTCCTTTCCTCCGCATCCCTGCTTTATTTCGATCACCTTCTGTCGCTCCTTTCATCAGCGTCCGCGATGAAAGAGACCGCGAAAACACAGCAAAGCTACTTCCGGTATCGGTATTCCACAATGAAACGTCCTCTGATTCATCAGTAATTTGCTGCCAGCCTGGTTATCCTTTGCAGTGCTGCCTTTGGTCAAAATGAAGCATAATGAGCTGCCGTTGCACTGCTGTGAAGAACAGGCTCCTTCTTTAGCCGTTGTTGCAGTTGTGTAAGACAGATGGTTTCCAGGCCCTTTCTGTTCAGATGGGTGCAAACATTGATCAGGGATACGTCTGCCCAGGTTTGTCTAACTTGTGTTCAAAGATATGGCAATGATCAGAAGGAGCAAAGACGAAACAAATCATTTTATTTTGGATTGTTTGAGTTTAAGCTCATAAATAATAAGAGACAGCACTTTTTTGTTGTTTCTTTGTTTTTTCTTTTTTTTCTTTTCAACTTTAGAGCTGTGAATAACGTGTAAAATAGTTTCCAAAGGTTTCTAAAATGTTTGTTTCTTCTTTGCATATTTAGGAGTCAGACTTTTAAAAACAAAATAATGGTAATTTTGTCGTCTGTCAACACCATACTCACACACTTTTATAGTTGGACACAGGGCGCTTGTTTAAAGACTGTAAATGGGTTATAGGAGGACAGTGCGTCAAACCAAAACCTTTTATTTTGAAGGCAAAATCTACTCACTTCCTGTAGTTGGCTGGCTGCGCCCGGAGAACTTGACGCAGACGGAGCGGCGGCGGTCTGTGCCCCTTTTTGTTGTGGCCGCTCGGCTGCCTGGAAGTGAAGCACAGGAGCGGCAGGTGCAGCGCCCCGCCTCCCTCCACAGCCCCGCTCCCTGGGGACCAGTGGCGGGGAAGAGACCTCTAATTAAACACGGCATGGAGATGGATTGGAATAATATTACACCTACACAGAATTATAATTTACTTTATTGTGAAAACTCGGCTATACTTTTCCTTTTATTTAATTCTACTTTTATCTTGAATGTACGGTGGCCCAGAGGTGTCAGGCCGAATACAAAAGCCACAACACAAATAAAAGTACAGTTTTTTGTTTTTTTTCTCTTTTAACCGTTAATTTTTCTTTCTAATTAGTTGTATCAATAAATAAATAAATAAAGATGTTCAGTGGTTTCGTGTCTCTTTAATGGAATTATTGTCAGAAATGAACTACTACTATACTTTGTCCTGTCTTTGTTTATTAAATTCGATCTTTTTTTATTAAAACTTAAAACAACCATCGGGATGAAAATATACTTCATGAACAATATTTGAACATTTACTGGAAGAAAAAAAAGGTTCAGTGTAACATTTAGGAGGATCTATTGTCAGAAATAGAATATCATATTCAGGTATGTTTTCATTAGTGTATAATCACCTGAAAATGAGAATCATTGTGTTTTTGTTTAGAATGAGCTGTTGTTTTATCTACAGACGCCACGGGTCGCCTTCCGTGGAGTCCACCATGTTGGACCACCATGTTTCTACAGTAGCCCAGAACGGACAAACCAAACAGAGAAGCTAGATAGGGGTGCTGGCGTGTTTTGCAGCCACTGTAGTTTCTCCTTCACACTTTACACACTGCCATCAAGAGCTTTCATCTGGTAAATATAATATATTTTTGCTCAACATGTCACTTACGCTCCTCTGGTTCCCAACCTTCGAGTCTGTATTGTTGTTGTTGATGTCATTTCTTTAGATATGAGATCATGTAAAATGCTGGGGGTCTTTTTTCATCTAGAGACATTGGTGGTGAAGTTCTTAACTAGCTGAATGGTTCAGAATCTATTTCATTAGTCAAAACTTTGAGGTCTAACATATCCAGCAATGTTAGGAATTGTTCATTTTAAAAGGGGAATAGGTTTGACTGTGTTGTAGGTTTTATAATTTCATATTTCACCCTTGGGGTCATTACAGCGGAAAAGGCAACATACAAAGTGCCACCAATTAGACAGACAGGGCCTTCTTATGACAACGCACAGCAACAGACAGCATGCAGAGCCAGCAAGATCAGGTCCCAGCTAATTGGTAATCACTCCTGTCACAGTGCCTCAAGTGAGACTGATATGTGTTTAATTAATCAGCAATAATTCACATGCTTGTTTTGCCTGCTGAACAATAAGCCTGCGTGCTCAAGAGCAGTTCAGTAACAGCGTTGGAAAAGTGAAAGGAGGCAGGAAAAGTGCAGATTGTGGATCTCAGAGTTAAGGGAGGGACTGCATTACAACAAGGAAAATAGAATTATGAAATAAAGCTGACAAAAAAATACTACAAACATGTGACATTCTTTTGCTGAAGTAAACACTGGGTCCTCCCTGGGAAAAATCCAGTGAAAATGTACACTGTAAAACCAGATAAGTTCATTCAACTCAACTGTTGAAACTGATTACATCGAAGATTTTAAGTAAAACTAAACTCCAAGTTAAAATAACATTCTTGATGAATTAGCTTTAGTAATTTTAAGTGACACTTAATTTTGTAATGTAATTTTATTTGTACTGTGAAAACAAAATGCCTAGTAAAAAGCATTTAATCTAGAAAGTGATGTTACTTATATAACAAAGTTAGTGTTCAGAATCAGGTATGTTTTCATTAGTGTATAATCACATTTTGACCTATAGGAAGAAAAACACTTGTTACTAATACCATTAACAATACTCTGGACTAATCAACTGTCCCAGTAAGACATGACAATGAGCCAACATGCACAATACCAAGACCTTGAAACTGAAGCAGCTAAATGGAATTCAGCCATCATTCATTTACACCTACAGTCTGTGGCAGCAGCTGTGCGTAAGTTCAAACTTATAGTTATGACATAAATTATTACTAAGTTGTGATTAATACATTACAAAAATAAAAGTGGTTGCATCCTGCAGAGAAGTTACAACTTAACTCTAAGTAACAACTACATTTTTACACATGCCCCTAGACATAAAATTGCCAGAATCTTAAAAAATCTTACTTTTTTTTTATATCATACTGCCCAGCACTTCTAAGGAGGACCACAAGTGTCACATAAATAGTAATAAGGCATTTCAATCAATTAACAGTAAATTGTACAATAAAAACATTAATACATTTGTTTACAAATGAATTCCTTGTTTTACTACGGCAAGAGTGTCATGGACAGGCTAAATGGAGAGGCTAAAGGAAGAAGGTAAGTGAACTGAATAGCTAAGAAAATCAGCAGGGAAAATGGAAATGCAAATGGGGAAGGAATTACCCTGATTAAAATTTGTGAATTGTGCTATTTATTTCTCCTTTTAAAACTGAATTTTACACAAATCAAACTCAAACCCACGGCCACTGCAGCAAGGACTCAGCCTTGGTACATGGGACTCCAGGTCTACCAGGTGAGCTATCAGGGCGCACCATATGTAAATAATTTTTTATACTTCCTCTTTTTTTGCCCATTAAAACATCAACTAATAGGGTGCAATGTTAGCTTATTCGGTAGAGCTGGCGACCCATATACGGAGTTACTGCGGCAGCCCGGGTTTGAATCCGACCTGCGGCCCTTTGTGTCATCCCCTCTCTCTCTCTACCCACCTTTCCT